GTGCCTTTTGGCAAACTCCAAGCGGGCTGTCATGTGCCTTTTACTGAGGAGTGGCTTCAGTCTGGCCACTCTACTATAAAGGCCTGATTGGTAGAGTGCTGCAGAGTTCTCCACAGAGGAACTCTGGTGCTCTGTCAGTGACCATCGGGTTCTTGGTCACCTCCCTGACCAAGGCCCTTCTCCCCCGATTGCGCAGTTTGGCCAGGCCCAGCTCTAGGAAGAGTCTTGGTGGTTCCAAACTTCTTCCATTTAAGAATGATGGAGGCCACTGTGTTCTTGGGGACCTTCAATGCTGCAGACATTTTTTGGTACCCTTCCCCAGATCTGTGCCTTGACACAATCCTGTCTCGGAGCTCTACGGACAATTCCTTCAACCTCATGGCTTGGTTTTTGCTCTGACATGCACTGTCAACTGTGGGACCTTATATAGACGTGTGTGTGCCTTTCCAAATCATGTCCAATCAATTGAATTGACCACAGGTGGACTCCAATCAAGTTGTAGAAACATCTCAAGAATGATCAATGGAGTCTTATAGCAAAGGGTCTGAATACTTATGTAAATAAGGTATTTCTGTTTTATTTTTAGGGCAGGGTACTGGGTGGAGGCCAGCTAGTGGTGACTGTTTAACAGTCTGATGGCCTGGAGATGGAAGCTGTTTCTCAGCCTCTTGGACCCAGGTTTGATGCACCTGTACTGTCTCCACCTTCTAGATGGTAGAGGGGTGAACAGGCTGTGTCTTGGGTGGCTGAGGTCCTTGATGATCTTGTTCTTCCTGTGACACTGGGTTTTGTAGATGTGCTGGAGGGCAGGCACTGTGCCCCAGGTAATGCTTTGGGCTGACCACTCTACTCTCTGGAGAGCCCTGAGGTTGTGGGCAGTGCAATTGCTGTACCAGACGGTGATACAGCCAGACAGGATGCTCTCAATGGTGCATCTGTAGTTCGTGAGGGTCTTAAGGTGTCCGCATGCTTTCCAGCCGAAACAGTTCGGAAGAGTTTGTGCACATTTTGTGACGTTTTGGACATCAGTAAGGGTTTTTTCGTCTGTTCGGGCACAATTTTTTTTCTTTCTCTCAAGTTCGGGAGCCGAAGTCTACGCCCCCTTGTTCGTGATTGGTCAACTGTAGGGATAGTCTTTGTCATTCAATGAGAGACGACTCATTTTCACACACTTTTCCATTGAGAACTATGGCACCAAACATCCTAGTTAGATGTAAAATTGCACGACTAAGATCTCCTCGGCAAAAACGTCAAAATTAATGACATTTCTTGAGTTATCATAGATTAATTCCGACTATTTTGAGGAAATGTACACTGGCTACGGCGTCTCAAAACGGACAAACAGTACTAATGCCGCTTTTTTCTTGTGTTTTTTATTTTTTTTAAGCAACAGTCTTTTAAGGGAGTATGCGAGCACACTTGTTCGGTTCACCTAGCCGACTTCGGCTAGCCGCCAGCCTAACTGAAGCATGCTGATGCCTTTTTAGGGGCCAAGACAAATTTCTTCAGCCTCCGGAGGTTGAAGAGGCGCTGTTGCGCCTTCTTCACCACGGTGTCTGTGTGAAGGGACCCTTTCCGGTTGTCAGTGATGCGCACGTCGAGAGACTTGAAGCTGTTGACCCTCTCCACTGTGGCCCCGTTGATGTGGATGAGGTCGTGCTTGCTCTGCTGTCTCCTATAGTCCACGATCAGCTCCTTCGTTTTGTTAACGTTGAGGGAGAGGTTATTTTCCTGGCACCTCTCCGCCAGGGCTCTCCTCCCTGTAAGCTGTCTCATCGTTGTTGGTAATCAGGCCTACCACTGTTGTCGTCAGCAAACTTGATGATTTGAGTCGGAGACGTGCGTGGCCACGCAGTCAGGGGTAAACAGGGAGTACTGGAGGGGGCTGAGCACACACGCCTGTGGGGCCCCCGTGTTGAGGATCAGTGTGGCTGAGGTCTTGCCTACCTTCACCATTTGGGGTTGGCCCATCAGGAAGTCCAGGACCCAGTTGCACAGGGAGAGGGGTTCATACCCAAGGCCCTGTGCTTAGTGATGAGCTTGGAGGACACTAGAGTGTTGAAGGTTGAGCTGTAGTCGAAATACAGCATTCTTACATAGACATTTCTCTTTTCCAGGTGGGATAGGGCAGTGTGCAGTGCGATATGCGAATTGTAGCGGGTCTAGGGTGTTTTGTAAGGTGGAGGTGATATGGTCCTTAACTAGCCTCTCAAAGCACTTCATCATGATGATGATGATTGGCTGACACTGACATTCCAAAATGGCTGCAGTGGCAACTGCTAGAAAAGGGCAGTTTTCTACTGCTGTGGCTACTGCTAGCTAGCACGAGGACAAAATGGGCTGATTTCTGGGAAAACTAGCAGTATTTCAATCTTCTCTATGGAGCAGTGTGGATAAAGGTACAATGGCATATCCCATTCCTGCATTGAGGTACGTTTTCCGACCCATATCTCGCGCTGGCTCCACTGTGTCAATGTAAGCATGATTATGTTCCGACCCCAGTGCAGCTCAGTGTACACAAGAGTAACAGTAGGGTCGGTATCTTCTGGCAATTTTAATGCTGAAACAGAAATGGTATAGGATAATTATGTTCATTTTATCTCGAATTATGTAGTCAATTTCTTACCAAGTAGCTTAACATTAGATAGTGTGATTGCATTTAGCTTAGGTGTCTTATTGATAAATAATAAATCAGACTATGATACTTCTGGTTACACAGTCTGAGATTAAAGACATGTTCTGGAACTTTGGCGACTAAGTGTTTTTTAAACCTTCCCTTTTGGGCTGGATGTGTCAATGTGTAGTTCATACACGCATAATCTATGAGCAGAATTACTGTCTTACCTCAATTAGCCACGGAATCCCCAGTTTTAAAGCGACTGTTTACTGGACGTTGTGCAGCGCCATATCCCCTACATTTCCCCCCACATGGGCCAGCCCCCTAGCAATTCGAGTTCAACCAATGAGGTTCAGCCCCTTGCCATTTGAGTGACATCTAGCAAGAGGCACAGCATGCACACACAGCAGAGCGAGAGAGAGCAATGACGTGGTGCACACATCTGCACATATGTGATGTAGTGCGCAATTTTCCGGGACCACTTTTGGCTCGTGAGCGCTACTTTCAGAACTACTGGCTAAAAAGTATAGGTTACAAAAGTACTGGATAATCCCTTCAATGCCATACATTTGTAAACACCTGCAAGACTTCGCTTAGTATGCATGCATCGCGTGCATGTACTTCCATCTTGTATTGCGCACAAGACGGAAGTACATGCACTGCGCATGCTTCAGGTAAAGAGCAACACAGAGACCCGCGTTTTGAAGTCGGTTTAATAATATTTCCTGTGGATATTTTGTCTCATTTCAACCCTCAAGGACAATCAGCGGAACAACAGGTAGTGTGAATGAATTAAATTATATTTTTGTGTCAAATCGGCAATTGGCATCCCATTCCTTACGGGATTAATTGACACAAACAAACAGTACAATGGAGTAAGTTCAAATATAATTTTATTCAAAATTTGCGACAGATGGGACGTATAGGTTTTCGTAAATACAAATGTACGTGACTATGTTGTCGAAGGGACAGCATAGGAATGTAGGGGCTAGGTGTAGCTCAGTTGGTAGAGCATGGCGCTTGCAACGCCAGGGTTGTGGGTTCGATTCCCACGGGGGACCAGCATGAAAAAATGCATGCACTCACTAACTGTAAGTCGCTCTGGATAAGAGCTTCTGCTAAATGACTAAAATGTAAATGGAAATGTAAAATGTGTCTTAAAGCTAGCTAATTACTGGCTGGCTTTGGGCGTAAACAACTTCACATTTCTTGCAGCAAGCAAATTTGATCAATGTCTGATTTAACGTTTATCGGATTAATTTAGCTAACAGCTCTGTTTAGCTTGGCAATCAACTGTCTCCTATTGTAAAAAAAAACACACCCTAGACATTCCATTGATTGGAAAATCTATCTCAGTCACATCACTCTCACTAACTAACGGTAGCTAGTTACACAACAACTCCTCCCCGGGCACCCAGTGTGGCAGCTCCCTGCACCTCTCCAAAACCAGTGTGTGTGTCTTTCACAGGGGTTGGGTTAAAGCGAAAGTCACATTTCGGTTGTACCTTGTGTGCAATTGACCAATAGTGATCTTGATCTTAATTTAGCTAAGAAATAGCAAGCTCCCAGACATACAGTGTCTTTTAGAAAGTATTCACACATTTTTCCACATTTTTGTTGTTACAGCCTGATTTCTGAAATGGATTAAATTGAGATTTTGTGTCATTGGCTTACACACAATACCCCATAATGTCCATTAATTTCTAAAAACCTGTTTCCACTTTGTCATTATGGGGTATGGTGTGTAGATGGGTGACAAAAAAATAAATATTTAATCCATTTAGAATTCAGGCTGTACCAACAATGTGGAATAAGTCAAGGGGTATGAATACTTTCTGAAGGCGCTGTAGACTACTCGGAGGAGACAGTTGGCTATCTGTAGCCAACTGATTGTGGCTGTTGAACTTATCTCACATGATTTAGCCAGTATAGTATTAGACCTAGCTATTCTAGTGCTTTGCATTGACAGGTAGGTCTATCACACCCCTTGAAGAGTTAGTAATGGTTTGCCTATCCCAGGCCAGTGTCTGTGCACCTGTTTTGTCCTAGTTTTAATGACCGCTAACTGGATTAAGCAGAATGATATGCAGTGCAATAGCCAATTGAATCTGGAGAGCATACCGTATTGATTAGTTTGATAAACCACACTTATGAGTGAGTCACGTGTTTCTGAGTCGAGTCTGAAAGTACAGTATTGTACTGCGGCTAATTGAACTGCGGTGAGATTCTCAAAAGCATATAGATCATATTTACCACTAAGATCATCTAAAGTCAATTGGTAGGCAATGGACAAACCATGGTCTTAATGGTAAAGATGTTCATCTTTATACCCCTGGTGATTTTGAAAACCTGCCCTGACATATTTCTCCACTCTTTCCATTGAAGCATGTGATATTCCTAAACATCAATGGAAACCGTTGACTGAAGAGGAAAGGACATCCCAGTACTTTTATTTGGAAAGAGCGGTTTTGGGAATTTCCTTGGAATATTTAGCCTTTTCCTATGCAGAGAAATCCCAATAGGCCTGCTGATGACTGGAACTCAAGGTATGTGTCCCAGTAGCTTTCCTAAAGCTAGTTTTTGTCAAAAAGGAGGGAATTTCTTTCCCTTATGGAAGATGAGGGAAGAAGGCAGCTCGAGTTAAAAAAAATGTAGAGCCTAACATTGTCGAAGTGGCATTAATGTTTCAGCCATGTTGACGTTCATCAGAATGAAGAATAGCTTTTGGTTGTTGAACAGTGGAAAAAATAGATGAGAAGATCAATGATCAGCAGGCTGACACAGCACATTAAAGGGGAATGGAAACACTTTAGGACGTAAAGCTACACAACAAGATGTATTCAATCCACTAACAGTAAACATGTGTAAAGCCTAGTGTTTCCCTTCCCCTTTAAAGCTGGAATCCTTAATGGTGACACTGCCACGTCCGCTTGGGATAGGCTACTACAACGACAAAGAAGTTACTACAAACAACTAACTCTTGTTTTTTCCCCCTCTGACATTGCACACGCGATAGAACAGCAGAATATGTACTGCACATATTTTTTTACCACGTTGCTCGACGCATCTCGCCTCCATTAGGTCCACATAACAAAAACAATAACAAAGGTGCTGCGGCGGACAGTGACGCTTTTCCCCCTAATGCAGATTCCATCTTTAAGACGTTCTCATCTTGCTGGGCCTTGCTGTAGATGCCATGTGAAAGTAGACTGTTACAGTGAATGGACACAAGTACAGATGTGGTAGATACATTTGCACGCAGCCTCTTATCTATGTACGCACAGGCAGTATAGACTATAGACACACACGTCACACACACACTGGTGTGACCTTGGAAGGCTGAATGCTAGAGGCGGGAGAGTGATAAGCGAGTGTTGGCTGACCCACTTCAGACAGAAAATGTAGTGCCCTAGAGGAGGAAGTGGGACTGGGTGTGTAATAGTGTCATGGTGTGTGAATGTTTGCTACTATGCTCGTCTATGTACTCCTAGCCGTAGATGTTTGAAACTGCAACAGTGGATGTGCATGTTGGACTGCATCTGTGGTGGTAGGTAGTCTGATATTACAATATTAGGCCTTGTGTTCCATTAGCCTATGGGCCAATCTGCTTGTGGCACGGGGTGTTTTATCTATAGGGTGTTTTTGGATGGTTTGGGGGTGCCTGCTTGTTGACAGTGACACACAATATCTGTGCTGAGTCTTGGGATGTCACTCCTCTGTTTGTCTGCTTAATGATGGATGAACAACACCGTTAGACTCACTCATCACTCTGTGTATTACCTTAAGGACACAATGGAACATACACGTCACTATGTGTGTAAGTGTGCACGTCTGTGTGTGTGCAACATGGATGTCACTGTGTGTGTGGGGAACATGCATGTTGCTGTGTGTGTATTTGTGTGTACCTGCTCAACTGTTGGCCACAGCGTCTTCTCATTGAAATCGGGCCTGCACATAGCCATACCTTTCAGTATGGCTTGCAATAAGTCGAACATGGGGTGAGATGAGGAAGGGGAACGGGAAAACACATTAGGGGACTTTCAGTGATAGGCAAGGAGAATGCAGATATGACCGCTGTTGACACTTTTTTTTAGGTCAGGTATTAGTTAGAGCAAGGGTTTGAATAGTTTCTCGCTGTAGGCGAGATTAGCCATAGTGGTACACCAGTGTTGGGTTAATGTTACAGGGTTTGTGTTATAGCTATGAGGAAGGGACTTTCTCAAATGAAGCAATCTCTCAATCCTATCCATTTGGGATACTTTCCCTCCATGCTAGTAATGTTTTCTCTATTATGTTTTGGGTGTTGCAGGATGCAAAGAGAAACTGCCTGCATAACACAACCTCCTAATGTGAGGGAAATACTGGTGATGTATCATCATTTCAGAGTGGGTAGGGAGTTGTGTGGGTAGGGGGTTGTCAGTGGTGCCAATAAACTGGTGGTGACTGAATTCTTTCACCTTTCCTCTTCCTTAGTTTTGTGCTGATTGGGCAAATGCTGCCACATAGGCCCGTGATTGGTGGAGTTGAGGGTCACTGACGGGCACTTAAGGGTGGGTGATATGGAAAAAAATTAATATCACAATATTTTCCACTGTCCTGACGATAACGATATAATATCACGATATACTTTTAAAAAATGTTTAAACATTTTATGAGCCCTTCAAAGTTAAATGACTGTTTTACTTCTGTGGTAAACCTGTGCAAACATGAAACATAAACAAAGGTATATGAGTTAAATAAATATTTAAAGTAGTCAGGATGTAAACTTTTTCCTGCCAAATATAAGAAGTGCTGTCTTTTTTCAGCATAACACCAGTCATTATGAATTCAAGTTGTAAAAACCTTTTCAAATTAACTTCAAGCATTAACCAGACAGTCTGTATGTTTCTCAGTTCAGCATGTAACAATTCACTGCCTCCCTCTTCACAAGTTCCGTGCCAGGAACACCAGCCTATTGACCGTTTCTGGCTTCAAAGTTGCCCTGTGGCATGTGACCACATTGCCCCCAGTGCTAAATGCTCTCTCAGAGGGCAAACTTGTGGCACGGATGCATACGTATTTCTTTGTCAGACAACTCAATTGTGGGAAGTTGGATGCGTGAACTCGCCACCACTCCAAAGGATCAGCCTCACTGTCTGCTGCCATCATCAGAGTGTAGCTGTCTAGCTCTTGCTCGATAACCTGTCTCTGGGTTCTTACGGCAGGTGCACTACTGGTTTTCTTAAAGAAGCTCCAGAGGCTCTTCTTGGACTTCTTTGCTGATTGTGGAGCAGTGGCAGCTTCTTTCTCTCCCTCACTCACTCTGGTCCTCTTCAAAAGAGAAGTCTCCCATGGCTGTGTTCCCTACCAGGAGGGCATCTGTCTCGGAGGCAGCTCTCACGTTCACCTCCACCAGCTTCTCAGTGGTCTTGAACCTTGGGTCCAGGAAGGTAGCCATGGTGAGCAGCTCATCTGTTTCAGGGTCAGTGTATTTGTCATTCAGGTAATTGAGGACCCTCATCTTAATCTCTCCGGTCAGTTTGGCTTCGCCCTCATTTGATTTCAGAACCTCCTTCTTTAACAAATGGAGGACCGGCTTCAGATAGGACACACTCACGTATGTCTCTCCTGACAGGGCATCTGTGAAATCCTGGAGGGGCTTAAGTGCTGCCGTGATAGATTCAATGACCTCAATGTCTTGCCAGGAGGGTGCAAGGTGACGTGTTTTTTTGCCTGCTGCCAGGACTCGTGTGATGGCCTTTTCCTACTCCAGGACTCTTTCCATCATCTGCAGTCGAGATCCCCACCTTGTCGGGGATTCCGTGATGAGCTTGTGGAGGGGCAGGCTCAGTTTATCCTGTGCACTTGTCAGGGCCTTCTGCTTCTTCCAACTATAGGAAAATGTGCTGACCACTTTCTTGCACACTCCTGTGGCCCGGGAAACCTGAGGTTCGTTTTGGACACTCCTCTCTGCAAAATAAAATTGTGAAAAATAATTACATATGAATCCCAATTATTCAATAGAAATAACATAGCATCTGCTGTAATTACAACAATTTACTTAATGGACACTGGACATGATTACAAATGTAATCCATCTATAGATTTACAAACAACTGTTGTGATTGAGAGCTATGTTGCTTTAGAAAACGGGATCATTTATTGGGTAGGCTATTATTGAATGATAGATTCAAATATTGAAACCATAGGCTAATGTATCAATTATAAATAAAAGCAATGTAATCCACGTAATGTTTGGATATTGCACACATTTACAAATTACAAATATTCTAGATTTGCATAGCTGTATATATCCGGCTTAACGTATAAAAAGTATCAGGCAGTGTAGTCAGCTCTAACTTTAAACAGAGGAGATAAGGAATACAACAGTTATTCTGTATTTTATGTTGTTTTTAAGTGACGTTATATTTCTACCTTGCTCTGTGTTTTGGACGTTGAAACTTACCAATAGCAATGTGTAGCCTTGTGTCCGAAACACCCTAGTCTTGTCCATTTGTTCAGCTCCAATGCTTTGACCATGTTCAATCCGCTGTCGGTAGTCATACATACTTGAGGAGACTCTTTCAAGCCCAAGGATGAAAGTGCCTCCCTCAGCCCAGCTGCAATTATTTCTCCGGTGTAGTCGTCTGGGAAATTCGAGGTCTGAAGGCATTTGCTTTGCAGATTCCAGTTTCGTCAATGTAATGAATCGTGAGGCTAATGTATGGCTCTGTGGTCCGGCTTGACCATAATTTTTATAATTTTTTTCACCTTTATTAAGTCGGCAGTGGTAGAGAAGAATGCAGCGTTACGGATTTCGTTGGCAGCTGTGTCCCGACATGCTGTATAGAGTTCTGGCAGACATGTTTTGCTGAAGTATTTACGGCTCGGGATGTCGTATTTTGGGACTAGAGTTCGAATCAACTTTCTGAAACCATCTTTCTCCACAGTTTGAATTGGTTCCATGTCTTTCGCTATGTGATACCTAATTGCACTCGTTTTCTCATTCCATTTCTTGCTCTTCTTGTCATAGGGAGTACCACTAACGAATGATGCCTTGAGTGACAGCTGAGTGCGGGTCTGGCTTGAAGATGTCTTGGGACTTGCTCTGCTGCTCCGGGGATTTGTAGCACGCATTCTGGTAGATTCTTCATATTCGCGCACATGCAGGTTTTCAGGTGGTGAAAAAGATTGCTGGTGTTTCCACCTTTGGCTAGCACAATGCGTCGACACAACTTACACAGTACTGTTTGTTGGTCGAGGTCGGATATCTTAAAGACAAACCAGTTCCAAACGACAGACGAGGCCCCCTTTTTTCGAACCAATTCTTCCTCGTCCTGCAAATCAACCTCAATAGCTTTATTTTCCTTGTCTTCAGTCATCCTCAATGCTTGATTCTCTGCAGTTGCGCATGCTTGTTTGTTGACTTTGATTGGCAGGCAGATTGCGTGTAACGTCCATGCTTCTAGTTTTTTTTCTTTGCTAAAAAAAGGCTATGTTTCTAGTAAAATAAACAATTTGAACTAGCCCAATAGGCTGTATCACTCGACAGAAATTCTGAACGGAAAAAAACCCTGCCTTTATTTCATACATAAATGTATCATGATATGGCAAAATCCATATCATGGCACAACGTCATACCGGTATTCACATTGTGTCCCAAACGGCAACCTATCTGCTATATTGTAAGGAATAGGGTGCCATTTGTGATGTGACCACTACAAGAAAGGGGCTCCATTAGGTTATTGACGTCGTCTGCTAGTCAGCGTCTCTCAAGCTTTGTGTCATGATGCATCAATGTACAGTGGGGGAAAAAATTATTTAGTCAGCCACCAATTGTGCAAGTTCTCCCACTTAAAAAGATGAGAGAGGCCTGTAATTTTCATCATAGGTACACGTCAACTATGACAGACAAATTGAGGAAAAAAATTCCAGAAAATCACATTGTAGGATTTTTTATGAATTTATTTGCAAATTATGGTGGAAAATAAGTATTTGGTCACCTACAAACAAGCAAGATTTCTGACTCTCACAGACCTGTAACTTCTTCTTTAAGAGGCTCCTCTGTCCTCCACTCGTTACCTGTATTAATGGCACCTGTTTGAACTTATCAGTATAAAAGACACCTGTCCACAACCTCACAGTCACACTCCAAACTCTACTATGGCCAAGACCAAAGAGCTGTCAAAGGACACCAGAAACAAAATTGTAGACCTGCACCAGGCTGGGAAGACTGAATCTGCAATAGGTAAGCAGCTTGGTTTGAAGAAATCAACTGTGGGAGCAATTATTAGGAAATGGAAGACATACAAGACCACTGATAATCTCCCTCGATCTGGGACCCGTGGGGTCAAAATGATCACAAGAACGGTGAGCAAAAATCCCAGAACCACACGGGGGGACCTAGTGAATGACCTGCAGAGAGCTGGGACCAAAGTAACAAAGCCTACCATCAGTAACACACTACGCCGCCAGGGATTCAAATCCTGCAGTGCCAGACGTGTCCCCCTGCTTAAGCCAGTACATGTCCAGGCCCGTCTGAAGTTTGCTAGAGTGCATTTGGATGATCCAGAAGAGGATTGGGAGAATGTCATATGGTCAGATGAAACCAAAATAGAACTCTTTGGTAAAAACTGAACTCGTCGTGTTTGGAGGACAAAGAATGCTGAGTTGCATCCAAAGAACACCATACCTACTGTGAAGCATGGGGGTGGAAACATCATGCTTTGGGGCTGTTTTTCTGCAAAGGGACCAGAACGACTGATCCGTGTAAAGGAAAGAATGAATGGGGCCATGTATCGTGCGATTTTGAGTGAAAACCTCCTTCCATCAGCAAGGGCATTGAAGATGAAACGTGGCTGGGTCTTTCAGCATGACAATGATCCCAAACACACCGCCCGGGCAACGAAGGAGTGGCTTCGTAAGAAGCATTTCAAGGTCCTGGAGTGGCCTAGCCAGTCTCCAGATCTCAACCCCATAGAAAATCTTTGGAGGGAGTTGAAAGTCCGTGTTGCCCAGCGACAGCCCCAAAACATCACTGCTCTAGAGGAGATCTGCATGGAGGAATGGGCCAAAATACCAGCAACAGTGTGTGAAAACCTTGTGAAGACTTACAGAAAACGTTTGACCTGTGTCATTGCCAACAAAGGGTATATAACAAAGTATTGAGAAACTTTTGTTATTGACCAAATACTTATTTTCCACCATAATTTGCAAATAAATTCATTAAAAATCCTACATTGTGATTTTCAGGATTTTTTTTTCTCATTTTGTCTGTCATAGTTGACGTGTACCTATGATGTAAATTACAGGCCTCTCCCATCTTTTTAAGTGGGAGAACTTGCACAATTGGTGGCTGACTAAATACTTTTTTCCCCACTGTATCAGAGACCTCTACTGCTCTGCTCTGAGCTCTCTTGAGTAATCTGGATGGAGTCATCACTGTGAGGTTTTCCACACATCTTCATGTCATAGTTTCACATTTTGAGTGTGCACTGGGCAGTGAAGATATTTGCTGTTATGATAAGGACTGCTCCTCCTTCTAGAATACATTTTAGAAGTCACTGAAGAGCCTCAGTGTGTGTGTGTGTATACAGGTCTCTTTGATTCTGTGCAGTTTATACATGGCTGATTGAGCGTGAGTCAGTGTGCCGCTATGCCAGCATCATTTATTTGTATCTCTTCGTTGGTTCCAATTTGATAGTGATTTTCCTCTCATGTTTACCACCTCCTCCGCAGCAGCAGCAGCCAACCCTGAGCTGTGAGTCAGAAGAGGAGAAGCTGGACGGATGGTAAGCTCTTTTTCTCTCGCTCTGTTTCTACTCTTTCTTGTCAACTGTTTCTTCTTGCTCTCTCCTTTTCCCTCTCGCTTTCTTCCTCCAAATCTCTCTCCCTCCCCTCCCTTTATCCCCCTCTCTCTTTCGATCTATCTATGCTGTTGATAAGCGAAAGATAGTCTTTATATAAAGGACTCTCTGAGCTCAGCTCTGACAGCCCCGCTCACAGCTCCATGTTTGATTCTGAGGCCAAAGCTCTCTACAGGGAGAACATGGTGCAATTCTTGGTGCCTCCGGCAGATAAGACCACCTGATAAAACTATATATTAATTAATATTTTAGTGCTCACTCACCATCCTTTTAATATTATTTAGCTACTATACTTTTAAACTCATTCGAAATCCTAAAAGGATACATGGTTTCTTTCACCCATTTAGTAAAGAAATAGTTTCTGAAATGCTGTGTGTCTTATATTAGACAACAATGTAAAAGGACGGTCTGAGTGTCACTTAGGCCTACTGTCTGAGTGAATAATTAAGGCAATGTTTTTTAGCCTCTGCCTGACCAGGGAACCACAGATTAGGCTAGTTACCCAGGTCCTGTGACGTGACACGCTTCTGTCCTCTAAAAGTGAATTTGCAGTCTGATACACTAAAGTGCCACAGTGACAGTATCTATGGAAACTGTACAATAAACCCCAGCATTTCAGAAATTATGTTTTTGGAAAATAATTCATTTAGCATGACACCCATCATTGCTGTAGATTAGGCTAGTACAGTAGAGTTGTTTAGCATGACACCCATCATTGCTGTAGATTAGGCTAGTACAGTAGAGTTGTTTTGTAAGTGGGTTTAGCCATATCAGACGTTGTGGTTTGGTTCATAGGATTTCTCTGAGAACATTTACTAATATTGCCATTAAGAATATTTGGACATAATAAAACAATTTGAGTCAACTAATAACTCAAGCCTCAATGTCTCAAAGCTGACCCTAGTTCAACGACTGTCTGCTCCTTTGTGTAATCATAGTTTTAATTCTGCTACTTTCTTATGTCTTGTCCACTCACTGCTGCATGTCATAATCCATTTTATTTTCCTCCTTGTGTTAGACGAGCATGACTTTGAGCCAATCTGCAGATGCATGCACAGGGCCCAGTGCCATCCCCCCTGCTTCCTGGCTTTGAAGCTGCCTCTGAGAGGGGGTGTGGTGTTGGGACGTAGCTAGACCCTCGCACCCCCAGTGTTGACCCTGTGGCTGAGCGTCAGCCTGGCGCCCCCTGATGGATCAGGCTAGCAGTGAGCAGAGTCCTGAGGAGCCGGAAGTGGGAGGCCGGGCAGATCCGGAGGTGGGCCGGCGGGCGTCTGAGTCGGAGCACGGCCTGTCCAAAATCACCCACAATGCACTGGAGAACATGGGCGCGCTGGGCCACGGCCTGAAGCAGCTCTTCCAGCCGCAACGCCGGCGCTCGTCCGTCTCCCCGCACGACGCCGCCGCCTCCTTCTCTACGGGCGGGCCCGCCCCTGAGCCCCCGGACGGTGGGGGGCCAGAGGTTGGGGACGCTCCCGCCCCCTTGCCGCCCGGTCCGGACTCTGACCCCCATGCTACTTCCTCCGCTCCCCCTGCAGCTCTGAGCCGCGTTCTGCAGCAGATCAGAAGTGCGCCCCCAATGATGAAGCGAGGGACCAGCCTGCAGAGCCGCCGCAGCAAGACTGGGGGGACCGGGGACCCCCCTCAGAAAGGCAGCCCCCAGATCCACCGGAGGAGTACCCAGGAGGTGATGCTGCTGCAGGCTGGCCGCCCGCGTTCCTCCTCCACCACGGACACGCTCACCAGCCCTGCCCTGGCCGACATGCTGCTCACATCCGGGTACCACTCCACTGAGGAGCCTGACCGGGTGAGTTTAACCCTAACCCTAACCCCAACCCTGGCAGACATGCTGCTCACCTCCAGGTACCACTCCACTGAGTAGACTGACCATGTGAGATTAAACTAGGGGACCTACCCACTGGGACAGACAGGCCACTGCAAAGCTTTTTACGTAAATAAAAAACAAGCTGCTACTACTATAGAAACAGAAGAAATGGAAGCACAGTTGGAAGGTCAGAATTCATGACTTCTTGTAATTAAATTAAATTGGTCAGATTTCGGCTAACTGGCTTGCTGTCCTCTGGATGTTATTGGATGAAGGAGTGAAAGGCGCTGTCAGGGCTGGCGGGTCAGAGAGAGCAATAGTGTGTGTGTGTAGGTGACTATGTGCTCTAAGCTTTTCTATATTTAGCTGTGGCCTGTGGCTGTCTCCAAGTGTACTTTAGGTCAGCCAGCGAAGGCTTGCCTTGCAGGCCAAAACAAGCTCAAAGTTTGAAGAACGTATCGTTGCCTTACATCATTGACACTGTTCTATAGCCCTCAAGATATAAAATGGTCCTCACTGGAATTTCTCACATCCAGTGAAATGTGTAATGTGCAATATTTTGGCAATGAATGAATACTGACTTGTAGCAGGTAAATGATCAAATCCTTTCAAAGTCCTTTACACTGTTAGGCTTGAGTGTTGAACTCATAGACAACTAGTAGAGCTAGCCCCTTATTGTGTCTGAGGTATACCCATCATGCACAGTGCATATCCCTGGCAGTCATCTCACAATGCTTGATGACACCACCAAGCCTTTTGAGAAGTATGGGTATGAATCTGACTGTTGGATGGATAAGGCTAAGCTGTCTGTTGCACCAACAGTAGATAGTAATCACCAAACTGTGTATACTGCAATCAACTGTCCTTACAAGAGCAGCTATCAGCCTAGGGTCTAACTAGCATCGGGACGTGGCTGTGGTTGAGTGACTCAGTCGACAGTCTGTCATTCTTAGAGAGAGCAACAGTCCTGTCTACTGCCTGGCTGTTACACAAGCTGTCTGAGCTGACACTGACAGTGATGGAAAGGGGGATGTACTCGCAACCCCACTGTGGTGGCCTACGTCTTTCCCAACTCCCAAGAACAGCACAGAACCCCTCTCTGCACAGTTGATTCTCTTCTGACCTCTAACACTGCCGTTCCAGAATCTGTTTATAGCACATTTATTTGAGAACATACAGTGCCTTCAGAAAGTATTCACACCCCTTTACTTTTTCCACATTTTGTTGTTACAGCCTGAATTTTAAATGGATTACATTTAGATGTGTCACTGATCTACACACAATACCCCATAATGTGTAATTTTGTTTGTAGAACATTTTAGAAATTAATACAAAATTAAAAGCTGAAATGTCTTGTCAACAAGTATTCAAGCCCTTTTGTTATGGCAAGCCTAAATAAGTTTAGGAATAAAAATGTGCTTAACAAGTTACATGGACTCATTCCATGTTCAATAAAAGTGGTTAACACGATTTGTAATAATGACTGCATCTATGTACCCCATACATACAATTATCTGTAAGGTCCCTTAATTGATTAGTGAATTTCAATCACAGATTCAACCACGAAGACCATGGAGGTTTTTCAATGCCTCGCAAAAAATGGCACTGAAGATGTGTAAAATAATGTTTATATAATAAAGCAGACGCTGAATATCCCTTTGAGCATGATGAAGTTATTAATTAGGCTTTGGATGGTGTATCAATACAACCAGTTACTACAAAAATACAGGCGTCCTTCCTAACTCAGTTGCCGGAGAGGAAGGAAACTGCTCAGGGCTTTCACCATGAGGCCTATTGTGATTTTAAAACAGAGTTTAATGGTTGTGATATGAGAACTGAGGATGGATCAACAACATTGTAGTTACTCCACAATACTAACCTAAATGACAGTGAAAAGAAGGAAGCCAAAACAAGCATCCTGTTTGCAACAAGGCACTTAAGTAATACTGCAAAAAATGGGGCAAAGAAATTAACATTTTGTCCTGAATACAAAGTGTTATGTTTGGGGCAAACACAACACATTACTGAGTACCGCTCTTCATATTTTCAAGCGTTGTGGTGGCTGCATCATGTTATGGGTACGCTTGTCATCGGCAAGAACTAGGGAGTTATTTAGGATAAAAATAAGCAGAATACAGCTATAAACACAGGCAAAATCCTAGAGGAAAACCTTGTTCAGTCTGCTTTCCAATAGACACTTGGAGACATTCACCTTTCAGCAGGACAATAACCTAAAACACAAGGCCAAATCTACACTGGAGTTGCTTACCAAGACGACATTGAATGTTCCTGAGTGGCTTAGTTACAGTTTTGACTTAAATCGGCTTGAAAGTAGCTGTCTAGCAATGATCAAGAATCAATTTGACAGAGTTTAAAGAATTTTAAAAAAGATAATGAAATATATTGTACAATCCAGGTGTGCAAAGCTCTTAGAGACTTACCCAGCTCTTAAAGACTCACAGCTGTAATCACCGCCAAAGGTGCTTCTACAAAGTATTGACTCAGGGGTGTGAATACTTATGTAAATTAGATATTTCTGTATTTAATTTTCAATAAATTAACTAACATTTCAGAAAACATGTTTTCACATTGCAATTATGGGGTATTGTGTGTAGATGGGTGAGACATTTTTTTATTTCATCCATTTTGAATTCAGGCTGTAACACAACAAAATGTGGAATAATCAAGGGGTATGAATACTTAAGGCACTGTGTAAAAAATAAATAAAACAAATGCTTGAGCCTTTGTCATCTTCAGAGTTATGTATGAGGTGACACACACACACAGTCTGTATGGCATCCCTGTTTGATGGATTACTGCTCAGATTATACACATGGATTCCTCTGGGTTAATATATGAAAGGTATGTCCCAGCTGTTTTACACATTATAGGAAACCAGTCTGAGTATAATGGTAGGTAACAGATAACCTTATGATTATAGGGTGTTGGTATTGGCTGGTTTATTATGTTAGTGTTCTAGTTTCATATACATACAAGGTCTGATGGGGGGCGAAGACAAGTTGCTTCAACCACATCAAATAGTAAACCTTGCTAGTGACCGTAGCAACTGGAGGAAGCTTGTGGTCGACTGTTTTGCAGCCTGATGATGATAGTTTTTGAAATGATGAAACTCAATACTGTTGATATAATAGGCCTTCCTCTTCCAGCTCTTTTTACACTCTTCCTCAATCTCACACGACAGTCTCTGATCCCTTCTTTACATCCTCCCTTTATCTTCACTTCCTCATTAGTTTCATCATTTTCATCAGTTCATCAGTTTCATCATTTTCATCAGTTTCATCATTCCTCACAGCCCCCATGGGGCGGGCGCACCAATTGGTCCCAGCGTTCGTTATAGGGTAGGGGAGGGAATGGGCCGGCAGGGGAGTGTAGCTCAGTTTGTAGAGCAGGGTTGTGGGTTCGATTCCCACGGGGGGTATAAAAAAAATAAATAAATAAATAAATAAATAAATAATAATAATAATGTATGCACTAACTGTAAGTCGCTCTGGATAGAGCGTCTGCTAAATGACTTAAATGTAAATGTAAATGTCATTACTCTCTCTCTTTCCTTGATCAGCTGGATCGTCTGGACGGCTCCGGCCCAGCCGTATCGCCCAACGCTATTTCCTATGGAGCCGATGGCTACGGGCTGGACTCAGTGGACAGCACCCCCGACCCCCAGCGCACCAAACAGGCCATCGCCCAGCTGCAGCAGAAGATCCTCAAGCTCACAGAGCAGATCAAGATCGAGCAGAGGGCCAGAGACGACAATGTGGCTGAGTACCTGAAGCTAGCTAATAACGCAGACAAGCAGCAGAGTGCCCGCATCAAACAGGTGTTTGAGAAGAAGAACCAGAAATCAGCCCAGACCATCCAGCAACTGCAGAGGAAGTTGGAGCACTACCACCGCAAGCTGAAAGAGGTGGAGCAGAACGGGATCCCCCGTCAGCCCAAAGACGTGCTCAGAGACATGCACCAAGGCCTCAAGGACGTGGGCGCCAAGGTTAGTGCTGTTATGAACATTTTAATCACATTTACTTTCCCTGTGAGCTGTTTTGTTAGTCATCCCGCTTATTTTTCACCACTGTCATACTCATTTCTACCACTGCATCTGCTAATGTGAGTACTACCACCACCAAAGTATAATTTGTGTGGTCTTAGCCACCTGTCCTTGACTCCTTTACAGAGTGGTTAGCAGTACACAGCTTCTAACAGATTCCTATCAACAGAATTCAATAGAACACATGTAGAATACGTATCTCTCAGACCTGGGTTCAAAAATAGTATTTGAAATCATTTATAATGCTTTAGCTGGGCTTGATTGAGCATGATTGGCACAATGGAACCAATAGAATAGTTGCAAAACATCATACCCGGTCACTCTGTTTGAACCCAGATCTAGTATCTCTGTCCCTGTCCATTAAGTAAGGGATAAACGCAGATGTTCTGTAGATAACCTTGGAAATAATGGACGACTTTGCGGAGTTCATTTTTCCAAGTTAATGTACATAACGAAGGCATTTATCCCGCTTTTACCACAGTTTCCAAAGAAAACAATACTAAAGCACACATTTACCGGTAGAAATACAATTGTTTTGTTTATTTACTTCCTCATCTTTTGGTTGCTAGGGACGTGACCCAGTTGTTCGTTCTATATGTTCCGTTGCCATGCTCGCTGGCTAACACAGGCATGACATCTGCAGCCAGAATAACAGCAAAGTAGCTGCATTTGTGTTTATTTAAGCTGTTTTCTATTGACATTAATTAAGATATATCCATAACAATGATGGCCCGATTTTTGCCTGGCATAGCTATAAAAGTTTGCCTTCTCGTCAGGACACTCAACACTGTTCATTACGAGGAGATTGCATTGCATATCAAACACTAGGCTAGAAGCTATCTAAATCGTTTGTTGCTAGCAAACCTGCCAATATGACAACCAAATTCAAAAATACCTGTTGCTGAAAACAGCTGGTCAAACTACAAACGTGGGAGGATTTGACAGCATAGCGCCACTTGCGTCATGACTGCAACAGTAGGGACCAGAGAAATTCATGTTCATCACTCACCATGTTAGTTCATCAGATGTTTCTCTGCAAAAACAAATAAATACCAGCTAGCTACAGTTTTTCCTCGTCGGACCTGTGTTTACAATGTATCCAATTTCGGTTTGAGTGGTTGTTGGTTTAGCTTTTTGTAACTTTGTAGCAAGTACAGTCTGCATGTGTAGGCGCATATTGCGTCATGAATGCAAGGTGTCCCGATTTTATCTTTTTCCAACTGTCCTGTTATCTGGTTTTAATGTCCATTCTAGAATGCCCTTCTAGCCAATCGGAAACGAGTATTCAACAATGCTGTGGTATAATCTCCTTTAATTCCCACCTTAGTCCCCACCCCAGTTAGTAACTGACCTGTCTTTCCCTACAGGTGACCGGTGGCCTCTCCAGCTTCTCCCATGCCACTCACTCTGCAGCCGGGGCCGTGGTGTCCAAGCCCCGAGAGATCGCCTCCCTCATCCGCAACAAGTTTGGCAGCGCCGACAACATTTCATCCCTGAAGGACTCCCTCGACGAACCCCAGGAGGATGGTCACGGTCTGGGGGGGGCTTCCAGCCCCAAGTACGGCAGTGAGGACGACTGCTCTAGCGCCAGCTCCGGCTCGGCGGGGGCCAACAGCATCCCCGGGGGCCTGCCCAGCTCTATTAAGGGTCTTAACATCCTGGAGCCCGGCCAGTCATTGGGCTTGGACACGCTGCTCCACGAGGTGCAGGAGCTCCGGGACAACCAGGGTCGGCTGGATGAGTCGTTCGACAGCTTGAAGAGTCACTACCAGAGAGACTACACCATGATCATACAGGCCTTGCAGGAGGAGAGATACAGGTAGCCAGCCACTGCCACACACAACCTCGCAGGTACTACATACTCTTTACCAAGTCCTCATTTACAAAGGACACTGAATGTCACTAATACGCATGTGATAACCTGAAATCTGCAGGTATTTACCACCCCTCACTGCACTCAGCACTTGCTCAAATCGCTCATAAATGCAAACCTCTTTTGTTATTAAACCCTTTCCATTCAAAATAATGTATTATTCTCACTCAGCAACAGCAAACATCTCCACCATCTTCATGAAAGGAAGTGTGTGATCGGTACATGACCTCTGTGTGTCTCCAGGTGTGAACGTCTGGAGGAGCAGCTCAACGACTTAACAGAGCTCCACCAGAATGAGATCCTTAACCTGAAGCAGGAGCTGGCCAGCATGGAGGAGAAGATCGCCTATCAGTCTTATGAGAGAGCTAGAGACATTCAGGTAGGTTGTTCCTCCAGTACTTGAAGGAAGGATTATACTTGACTTTTAGCTCCAAAGGGCCTCAACAGTGCGTCTCCAGTGAACCCAAGGTGTATTCTTAGTCTGGGACATTTTTTGTACTATTATCTTGCTACATGGTACAGTAGATGTGTTTCACACTGTGATCCATGGTCTTCTCAATGATATGTGGTACAGTAGTTATGTCTAGCCATGTTTGTGCTGAAGTGTGTTGTTGACATGCCACACTGTGTGAACCGTCTCTCCCCTCCCCCGTGTAGGAGGCGTTAGAGGCATGCCAGACGCGTATCTCCAAGATGGAGCTGCAGCAGCAGCAGCAGCAGGTGGTCCAGCTAGAAGGCCTGGAGAACGCCACGGCCCGGACCCTGCTGGGCAAGCTCATCAACGTGCTGCTAGCCGTCATGGCCGTGCTCCTGGTGTTCGTCTCCACCGTGGCCAACTGCGTGGTGCCCCTGATGAAGACGCGTAGCCGCACCTTCTCCACGCTGCTCCTTGTTGTCGTCCTCGCCTTCCTCTGGAGGAACTGGGAGGTCATCTCCCAGTACTTGGACCGCTTCCTGCTGTCCCCGAGTTGACCTGCAGGGGGGCCTCTCTTAATGAACGACAAATGGAGGCAACGGAGCTCTTGTAACAATGAGGGACGGTGACGAGGGGACTAACTAACCCATGCACTGCCTCTGATGCAACTGTAGTGGCGCCAGGCCAGCATAATGGGCGGGGCTTAGTGGAAAGGAGGAGCCAGGATAACTGCACACCTTTATTTCTCTCCAAGGAGTGAATTTGTTTACACGTGGAAGATGTTTGAGTTTTCTGTTTTAGAATTGATACAAGTGGTATTGAATTTGTTTCTTGCTCTCATTAAAACAGATTGAGGGCTCTCTCATGGCTGGATTTGGATAATGAACAGCTGGCATTTTGCTGATCCACATGGCTAGTGTCCTCCCAGTTCTCTAACTCTAAAATCTCTCCCTTTTCTTACTCCAATGTTTGTCCCTCTTCTCGATCACCCCATTGCTTGTCTTTCTGGGAGGATCGATGGACAAAATCAAACTGGAGCAGTGTGTTTTATATGGACGAGCTGGAATATGCTAGAGAAGACTGCCCTCTTGGTCCTGCCCCCTGCAGAAACGAACTAATCTATGAACATACTTGAAGAGCTGTAACAATGCTCACTGTGCTTCCATTAGTGACAGTGAAATAGTACTTTATTTTTTTAAACAAATAAACATGCTGTTTTCAAAAATGAACTGGTCATGGAGTCAAATGAAACCATAACTGGATGTTGCCTTTCTCAAATCCAGGTCCACAGCACTATTTTATAGATCTCAGGGCTGACGGGAGAAAATAACCAGCAGCAACCCAACGCCTCATTGTGCAAAAAGTTCATACATTCAATAAATCCAACGTATGAGCCACAAAGCTCACAGCATTCCATTGGAAATGATTGACCTTCCAGTGTACCAAAACGCAATGTCGGTGTGCGCAAGGCTTGAACCCCAAATAAGCTTCTTACGCCAACGTCTGTAAACAGAATGTAGAACACTAGCCTCAACATGGTTTAAACTATCATTTGAAAGTGGATTCTCCTTGAATTCATAGCTCAGTCTGAATTAATGGTTACGTTTCTCCAGCCCCAACCCTCAGCTTTTTAAAACCGGGGTGGGGAACACTTAATTTAAAATGCTTGTGGCAGTTAACTCAAACATGCAAAATGATTACAGGCCTCGAAGCCAGTTCCATTGCTCTCCATCCCCTCTAAGGACAGATTTAGACCAGGTACAACCACCAGCAGTCCTTCAGACCTCTTCAGTTAAGATTTGAATTTCCCTGCGCTAAAGGAACAGGGGAGACTACACTCCCCATAATTACAGCAGCTACAGTAAAGTACACAGCTCTACACTAAAAAGACACCACAACAACTTCAAAAAAAATAAGCTTTATTCAAAAAGATAAGTGCATCTTTAAAACCCACATTTGGATGAAAGGAGAACAGTCACTCAGCTGCTGCCTTCTTGCCTCGTTTCCCTGTGGTTCTAGCAGCAGGAGCCACAGTGTCCCCTTCATTACCCCCCTCGCCCTTCTTGGCTGCCCCCTCGCCCTTCTTGGCTGCCCCCTCGCCCTTCTTGGCTGCCCCCTCGCCCTTCTTGGCTGCCCCCTCGCCCTTCTTGGCTGCCCCCTCGCCCTTCTTGGCTGCCCCCTCGCCCTTCTTGGCTGCCTTCAGTGCTTTGGGTTTGGGATGGTCCTCAGCAGCCCCCTCAGCAGGCCTCTTTGCCTTGGGCTTCTTAGCAGGGGCCACCTTGGAGCCACCAGGACCCTTCTTGGGTTTTGCATCCTTAAACATGAAAATGACTGTTAGATTTGCGATACAATCACCCATTGAAAATGAGAGATGAAATTTAACCATGATAAAGCCTAAACAGGGAACAGTACACATTATGACCAAGGTACATAAAACACTGCTTACCCACCAAAACCACTTGAACTATGCCAATTGTCAGAACATAGATCACACTTGCCTCTGAAGTCTTCTCCTTCTGCTTTTTGGCTGTAGTTTTTTTCTCAGCAACTAGAGACAAGTTAGTGATGTAAATGGAGCTACACGCAATCATGGACACTACAAAAAGGATTAGTGAGATACCAATACAAGTCATAGAATGTGCCTTGTTCTGATGAAAACATTTTACATACCGCGATATTATAGCAATACAGACTCAAGGTATCGATTTGTAAAAAAAAAAAATTGCTAGGTAGCGCATTGTTCATCCTTTGGCTTGTGCGCCATCTTTTTAAGTATTGAGCCAACATGTTTTCAGCACTTATTTCTATGACTGATCAAAACGCATTTCGCATGCTCTGCAGCAGACAGTCAGCAATTTGTTCCCCGATAGCGCAAATACATCTGCCCAACATCTTGCAGATTAATTTAGAATGCCTAAATTGTACATTGTTTATACGTCGGCCAGACAAACATTATATCCTGAAGTCTCGCCGACATCTTCCCAATGTGCAAATGTGCCCCAAAATACATTCCCCATACAATTTGATACTTCGGCCAAAGGTGTGCTTGTTATCTGGTTTGGAACATCGAATCACAATACATATCGTATCGGCACCTAAGTATTGTGATATCCTATCACGAGGTCCCTGGCAATTCCCAGCCCTACGTTGTTCAATTCCCTCCATTGCAATGAGTGTTGCTCAATAAACAATTATCCCAGCCAATTGGGGAGATTATAGGGTTGTGTCTAAATCCAAGGTGTGATGAACAAAATAGATGCAGTTTACCTGCTTCCTTCTCCTTGGTCTTCTTGGCTCCAGCCTTGGCAGCCTTCACGTTGGGATCAGTGTTTTCAGTGGCCTTAGGCTTGGGCTCCTTCACCTTGCCCCTGACTGCAAGCTGGCAAGGGAGGGGGAAAAGACGTTGAACTACATTTGATAAACAAACCCATGGTCAATGCAATGTTTTGATGTAACGTTGACTTGAATAACAAACACTAACGCTCAAATGTGTATTCAAAAACCACTAGGCCCATTTGGCAGGTAAGCTACCCCATACACAACATAAAGCCCATTCACCTTGGAAAGTTTTTCATGATTTAATTAATTGGTTGACATTTATGCCTAGTTAACAATTATCCTAACCAAAAATATAGGCGAGGGTCACTAACCCGAAACCTCCCCTGTGCGCCATTTGCAGTGGAGTTAGGTGGCCTCACTAAGACCCCGCTCTCGATTCCTTTGTTCAGGGCTTTGCGTATCATGTATTTCAACTTCACCAGGTCCAAAGGTGGATATTTCTCTGTTATGTAACTACGAATGGCCTGCGAGGAAACCCCCTTTCGAGAGTCCAACTCCTTCAGCGCTTCTTTGACCATCATCATTGTTGGTGGATGAAGGGGGGTTTTCCGTGCCACAGCAGGTGCTTCGCTGGAATCTAACGAAATGAAAGTGAAAAATGTATAACCGTCAACAAACGAAATGTCAGTAATATTAGGATACCCAAATTTGCCTAAACAACACATCCATTACAAACCGGATTTAACTTTTCCCGACACTATTTCATCTTTAGTGGGTGATTCAGAAGATGAAATTACTTCTTCGGAGGCTGCCGTTTTTTTTGGTGCCATTTTCAAACGATAAATCTTAAGCTAACGTACAAACAAAACTACTATTTTCTCGCCTCCCAAACGAGATTGGATTCCAATTTTATGCACGTCAAGTAACTCCGCCGCAAACCACGTGGTTCATCAAACAGGTGCTCACAATTATTAGGTAGGCTACCACTCAGGACACATCCCACTAGTATAAAGTCAATTCCTTTCCTCGCCTCTGTTCCTTCCTTGCATCCTTTCCTTTATTGCGCTGATCAGCTGCTTACATTTACTGCTCTGGCATATTAAACATGATTCACCAAACAAAAATGAATTATGAAAACCCTTACACTTTGATCACACCAACAGCATTATTGCATTTTAGGTACACCAGAAGTACATTCATTTCCAATGGAATGCTGCCTTTGCCTTGCAGCGTGTTCTGTGTGGTGCATACATTGGATTTATTGAACTATGCGTCAAACTGTATGCTTAGATGGCTTGAAGGAAATGGTAGCAGAAGGTGAATGTTGAACTTTTGTTGCACACCTATCCAGATGATGATGCGTATATAACGCCTTGATCACACCGAAAGCGTTTTGCATTTTTGTACACCAGAAGTACATTCATTTCCAATGGAACGTTGCGTTTGCCTTGCAGCATTGTGTTGCAGAGGCAGTTGCAGTGCATTCTGTGTGGTGCATATGTTGGATTTATCGAACGTATGCATCAAATTGTATGCGTAGACTTGACAGAAAGTAGCAAAATGTGAATGTTCAACTTCACACATATCCAGTAAAAAAATAGTGGGATTACATAATAATAAAAGTGTTACTGCAGAATTTATTTTAATTTATTATTAATTTATTTGGCAAGTAGCATACATATTATTTATTCGATGACATCTACACATTTATTGTGACAGCCTATAATATAATTTTCCTCCAAAATACATAGTTTCAGAGGAAATTGAAAGAATAAATAGTCAAGATAGTAGAGAGTAGGCTCTTTCAACAATGAGACCAACGTTGAGGAAGGTGGTCTTGATCGTGCTGTTGGACCGGGACCAGCCCTGCCGAAAGCGCAGGTCTGTATGGGTCCAGGGATGGTTGAAGTCCCGAAAGCAGGCAGGGGAGTTCCACCGTCTCATTCAAGAGCTTCGACTGTTTGGAGAGGAATTCCGAAGCTACTTTCGTCTGGACCGAAGCCAGTTCGATCACCTGCTCCAGATGGTTGGAGACCGGATCGCCCGGATGGATACCAACTACCGGGAGTCCATCAGCCCAGTTGAACGCCTGGCGATTGGGTCTCCGGTAAGCAAAATTCAAGTGAATTTTTTAAAGCCTTTGATACCATAATTGATTGATATTAGATATTCGTGCATTCGGAAAGTATTCAGACCCCTTGACTTTTTGCACATTTTGTTACGTTACAGCCTTATTCTAAAATGTATTAAATTGTTTTCCCCCCTCATCAATCTACACACAATACCCCATAAAGACAAAGCAAAATCAGGTATTTAAAAAAAATAAAAAATGGAAATATCACATTTACAAAAGTATTCAGACCCATTACTCAGTACTTTGTTGAAGCACCTTTGGCAGCGATTACAGCCCCAAGTCTTCTTGGGTATGACGCTACAAGCTTGGCACACCTGTATTTGGGGAGTTTCTCCCATTCTTCTCTGCAGATCCTCTCAAGCTCTGTCAGGTTGGATGGGGAGTGTCGCTGCTCAGCTATTTTCAGATCTCTCCAGAGATGTTCGATCGGGTTCAAGTCTGGGCTCTGGCTGGGCCACTCAAGGACATTCAGGGACTTGTCCCGAAGCCACTCCTGTGTTGTCTTGGCTGTGTGCTTAGGGTCGTTGTCCTGTTGGAAGGTGAACCTTCACCCAAGTCTGAGGTCCTGAGCAGGCTTTCATCAAGGATCTCTCTGTAATTTGCCCCGTTCATCTTTCCCTTGATCCTGACTAGTTTCCCAGTCCCTGCCGCTGAAAAACATCCCCACAGCATGATGCTGCCACCACCATGCTTCGCCGTAGGGATGGTGCCAGGTCCTCGAGACGTGACGCTTGGCATTCAGGCCAAATAGTTCCATCTTGGTTTCATCAGACCAGAGAATCTTGTTTCTCATGGTCTGATAGTCTTTAGGTGCCTTTTGGCAAAATCCAAGCGGGTTGTCATGTGCCTTTTACTGAGGAGTGGCTTCCGTCTGGCAACTCTTCCATTAAGAAGAGTTGTCCTTCTGGAAGGTTCTCCCATCTCCACAGAGGAACTCTGGAGCTCTGTCAGTGTGACCATCGGGCTCTTGGTCCCCTCCCTGCCCATGTCCCTTCTCCCCCGATTGCTCAGTTTGGCCGGGTGGCCAGCTCTAGGAAGAGTCTTCGTGGTTCCAAACGTCTTCCATTTAAGAATGATGGAGGCCACTGTGTTCTTGGACCTTCAATGCTGTAGAAATGTTTTAGTACCCTTCCCCAGATCTGTGCCTCGACACAATCTTGTCTCGGAGCTCTACGGACAATTCCTTCGACCTCAGGGCTTGGTTTTTGCTCTGACATGCACTGTCAACTGTGGGACCTTATATAGACAGGTGTGTGCCTTTCCAAATCATGTCCAATCAATTGAATTTACCACAGGTGGACTCCAATCAAGTTGTAGAAACATCAAGGATGATCACTGGAAACAGGATGCACCTGAGCTCAATTTCGAGTCTCATAGCAAAGGGTCTGAATACTTTTGTAAATAAGGTATTTCTGTTTAAAATTTTTAGTACATGTGCAAAGAATGCTAAAAAACTGTTTCTGTTTTGTCATTATGGGGTATTGTGTGTAGATTGATGAGGGAAAAAAATTATATTATCCATTTTAGAATAAGGCTGTAACGTAACAAAACGTGGATAAAGTAAATGGGTCTGAATACTTTCCAAATGCACTGTATTGTATGTGCAACCTAGCTAGCTAAAGCGCTCTCTAGTTAATAGGCCCTATGTGACATCAGATGTACTTTTACAGAATGTTCATTAGGCCTATTACTTTTCCCAAAGTTGGTTTAAAATTAAATGTTACCAAATGAAAATAAAGTTGGGGTGCCTTCTGCCCTGATGAAGGTAGCCTAGTCTTCTCCAGGACCCCTTGTTGTTCAAGACAGTTACAGTCATTCATTACATTCTTATTGGAATCATGTACACTCTTAGAAAAAAGGGTTCCAAAAATAGTTATTTGGCTGTCACCATAGGATAACCCTTTTTGGTTCCAGGTAGAACCCTTTTTGCTTCCAGGTTGAACTCTTTTGGGTTCCAAAAGGGTTCTACCTGGAACCAAAAAGGTTTCTACCTGGAACCAAAAAGGGTTCTTCAAAGGGTTCTCCTATGGGGACAGCCGGAAAACCCTATTTAGGTTCTTTTTTTCTAAGAGTGTAGAGTTGGCCTGGGCTACAGTTTATTGGGACAGTCATAGACTGAATTGTACTGTTTCAAGGCATTGTTAATTATGTTGATGAGTATTACAATATAATTAGTAGAGCATAGTAAACAATAGTGAGGTAGCTATATGAGTAGATAGAATATGTGGATGGAATTCAAGTTACACAACAATATTGATACTTATTTTGAATAATATTTCAGATTCCTGGCGACAGGGGACTCCTACAGGACCATCGGATTCAGCTTCCGAGTTGGGAGGTCCACGGTGGCAGGCATTGTCCCCTCTGTGGCACAAGACATTTGGGACTGTCTGGTCGGCAAATACATGCCTGTCCTGAAGGAGGAAGACTGGAGGGCCATTGCTGCTGAGTTCCTGGAGAGGTGGAATTGACCCAACTGGAAACTCCATTGACGGGAAACATGTAGTAATCCAGGCTCCACCGTGCTCGGGTTTGCAATTCTACAACTACAAGGGTACATATTCAGTTGTACTCTTGGCTGTTGTAAATGCCATCTACTGTTTCCATGTCGTTGATGTTGGTGCTTACGGCAAGGGAAGTGATGGCGGGACCCTCCGGGACTCTGCCTTCGGCCAGGCAGTTCAGGATGGCACTCTGGAGATTCCACCACCTGCATCACTCCCTGGGGCTGAAGACCTGGCACCCATTCCCCACGTCTTCGTCAGCGACGAGGCTTTCCCTTTGAGGCCCAACCTCATGAGGCCCTACGCTGGACACCAGCTGCCATTGCCAAGGCCTGTAAGGATGTTCAACAAATGACTGTCCAGGGCAAGGTTATATGTTGAATGTGCCTTTGGGATTCTGGCAGCCCGGTGGAGAATGTTTCGGAGTGTTCTTGGTCACAGCCCCTCAAATGTCGATGCCTGCTTGAAGGCCACGTGTTCTCCACAACTACCTGTGGAGGGCATCCCAGGAGCCGCTCCGGATGGAGATGGGCACGCCAAATGGTCACCTGCCTAATATCACCAGGGCAGGTGTAAACAACGCCCCCAGACAGGCACTCCAGGTGAGGGAGAAGCTGACCACCTACTTCTCATCACCAGCAGGTGAAGTTCCATGGCAGCATGCCGTGGAGTGAAACATCTCTTTTAAGAGCCCCCTAACACAAAGGTTATTTTAAGAATCCTCCACCGTTGTCCATAAAATAGCATTTTTCCCTCTGATTATTTTATGTCTCATTGTCTCTCTTCATTTGGAAGTTATATTAAGTGAAATTTTGGAGTAAAGACCATACCTCTCCCATTAACATCTGTATAATACACACCTGGCATGGTACGTCAGGTGAGCAGGAGCTCTAATTAAGGTTTTACATACAGTTAGTATGATAACAATGGGAAAGGGTAACCTAGGGTCCATACAAATAGTACAGTTTTCCACCATGTTCACTGGTCTGACAAAATGCAGGTGGGGAAAAAAACGAATTAGGATGAGAATGGGTTTAATTTAATCTTGTCTTAGATCTGCAAAGGTGTAGGGAGGAAATAAGGATATTAAGTCTAAATGAGATACTAATAAACAAATTAAACAACTGACTATGAAAAAAATAGAATTTCATAAGTATTCAAGTACAGAAAAGAACATGACAAGTATGTGTTTTAAAAAATTTACTAAAAATAAAAAGTATTGAAAGAGGTGTGTGTGTGTGTGTGCATGTATGTGCGTGTAAAAATAAAATATATATATATGTGTAGCTAAACACACAAATCACCTGTAATCTGTAAGCGAACAACAAGAGCATGTATTTTTGGCACAACTGCAGACAGATACTGGGACTACTCATAAAGCCTAGACGTAGTAGGGGAACTTCAGACATGACCATAAAGAGAGAGAGTGGAGGGCACTGGAGATCTGAGGTGCAGAGAGGAGTGGAGGAGAGGTGTGTGTCTGAAAAAACTAAAAGTGAATGTATAGCCACAATACAGGTAAACACAAATTTCACCTTCAGTCTTGTAAAAGAACAAGAGCATCTGAATTCTGAGTTTCAATTCAGTCAATTTTCATGCAATCTATGTACAACTAATAATGAATGCTATCCTAAGTATTGAGTAACTATTTACTTTATGAATTAAATTAATTTTATACTCAAAAAGCCTACTAACAAGGGCATAGTAAGCGGAATAAGGACAGTTGGAAAATCTGTTGCATTTCCTTGATTCCTCGCGTCCTCTCTCCTCACCTCCCGATCAAAACCAATTGGAGGAGAAGGTCAGCGTGAGGGAACCTGACATTCCCTCTATCTGACCTTCTCCTCCAATGGGCTTTGAGAAGAAGGCGAGGAGAGAGGTTGTGAGGAGTCAAGGAAATACAGTTTAGATTTTTCCATGGAGAGAGAGAGTAATACAGACAGTCAACCCACCCCCTCACCAGTCTGCCTGCCTTCTCCCTTCTCTCTGCCTCTGCTCCATCCCTATGGTTAGCCACCACCATTCATCTCAACAGCCTCCTCAGGCAGAGGGAGATAAAAGTGCGGGGCACTGGACATGTGAGGTGCCTTGAGGAGAAGAGCAGAGTGTGTGTGTGTGTGTGTGTCTCTGAAAAAAGGAAAATAATGTGTAGCCATAACACAGCTAAACAAGCAAATGGCCCCTGGATGTCATGGACCTGTCGATGGAACATAACTTCACAAAAAGTTTCAACACCCTGGTTTTCAGGTAGTTTTAAATGAAATAAATATTTTCACCTTTAGTCTTGTAAGAGACCAACAAGAGCATCTGTGAATTCTCCGGTGTGTGAGTTCAATTCAGTCAATTCAGAAATCTATGTAACACTAATAATTAATGCTATCCTAAGAATTTAGTAACAATTTACTTTATGAATTGACTGAATTTAAACAGAATTGACACATGTGAAAGGAAAGGTACAACGAGGGAGGTCAAAACAACAACCAGACAACTCCTCTCCTCTTCCTGTGGTCGGCTAATTTGACTCCATCTCTGGAAGAGAAAAACAACACATACAAGCATTACATAATATAACCCCATAGAAGGTGAGATTTATGTTCACTAAATAATGCTTATATAGTGTAGATAGCGGCATAAATATTGGAACAGTGTGGTCAAGTTGGTAATTTTTGCTGTTTACTCATGGAATTTGTATTTCAGATCAAAAGATAAATGTGACAGGCAAATATTTAGACAGCAAACTGTTGTTTCAGGGTATTTCCTAACCCAGAAACAACAGCTATACATTTGCCTCATATTAATCCTTTGATCTGAAATACCAATTAGCCTACATGAGTATACTGCAAAAATGACCGACTTTACTTCGCTGTAGCAATACTTATGACACTACCTGTGTTGTGGATAAAAAAAACGTACCATTGAACTCGGTTTCGAAAAGCAGCTGATGAATTTTAACCTTGACTGCTGCTTTTCTTTGCTGAGGCAGCCTCTTCAGGGTTGGCACCAGGCTCATGGCAAAGAAGGTCTCTTCATCCTCCTTCCTGTGAGCATCAGGTTGGGCTGCATCCCTCTCGACGGCTTGGAGGAGTCTCTGCTGAAATGAGTTGAGTGGATCTGGGGGCTGGTACCTCTGATGATGCCTTGTGGGATGTTGTTCCTCATCGTTTCTCTCCCTGTTTCTCTCCTAATTTGTCTCCATGGCCACATCCTGTTCAACAAGGTCCTCAGTGGTCACTTCCATGAGGGTCATAATAATCTCACCGGGTCCCAGATCCAGAGGTGCTTCGTCCATTTCAGCATTTTCCTTTGAGCAAGACAAAGGAGCTGATCGTGGACTACAGGAAAAGGTAGGCCGAACAGGCCCCCATTAACATCGACGGGGCTGTAGTGCAGAGGGTCGAGAGTTTCAAGTTCCTTGGTGTCCACATCACCAACGAACTATCATGTTCCAAACACACCAAGACAGTTGTGAAGAGGGCACGACAACACCTTTTCCCCCTCAGGAGGCTGAAAAGATGTGGCATGGGTCCCCAGAACCCCAAAAAGTTATACAGCTGCACCATCGAGAGCATCCTGACCGGTTGCATCACCGCCTGGTATGGCAACTGCTCGGCATTCGACCGCAAGGCACTACAGAGGGTAGTGCGTACGGCCCAGTACATCACTGAGGCCAAGCTTCCTGCCATCCAGGACCTATATACTAGGCGGTGTCAGAGGAAGGCCCAAAAAATTGTCAAAGACTCCAGTCACCCAAGTCATAGACTGTTCTCTCTGCTACCGCACGGCAAACGGTACCGGAGCGCCAAGTCTAGGACCAAAAGGCTCCTTAACAGCTTCTACCCCCAAGCCATAAGACTGCTGAACAATTAATCAAAAGGCCACCCGGACTATTTACATTGACCCCCCCCCCCTTTGTTTTTACACTGCTGCTATTCGCTGTTTACTATCTATTTATAGTCACTTTACCCCTACCTACATGTACAAATTACCTCGACTAATCTGTACCCCCGCACATTGACTCGGTACCGGTACCCCCTGTATATAGCATCGTTATTATAATTTTATTGTGTTACTTTTTTTACTTTAGTTAATTTAGTAAATATTTTCTTAACTCTATTTCTTGAACTGCATTGTTGGTTAAGGGCTTGTAAGCATTTCACGGTAAGGTCTACACCTGTTGTATTCGGCACATGTGACAAATAAAAATTGATTTCATTTTAAATCATATGATCAAGGAAACTGATTTGCATAGTAAATCTCAGATGCTCAGAACAAGAGTTAAGAAAAGCATGGAATACCTGGAGCTGTTTTTCATCACCCCTCCATAGAACAAAAATATCATCAATGTACCGTTTCCAGATAATAATGTTAGGCAAGGATTTTTTTTTGAGAGGATTGAGAATTGACTGTTTCTCCATGTAACCCACATACAAATTAGCATAGTTAGGAGCCATTGGGGTTCCATAGCAGTACCCTTCGTCTGAATAAAGAAATAATGTAGAAACATGAAATAGTTGTGTGTGAGTACTATTTCAGCCAATGTTATAATGCATGCACTGGAAGGTAGTTCTTTAGGGTCACGTTGCAGAATAAAATGTCCCATTGCTTCAATACCGCCCTCGTGTGGAATATTCGTGTATAACGACTCAACATCAAAAGTAACTAACAAAGTATTCTCAGGGAGAGGCTCAAGAGATTCAATAATAGAGATCGTGCTGATGGTGTCCTTTAAAAAGGAGGGGAGCTGTTCTGCAAGTGGTCTAATAAAAGAGTCAACAAAAGTCGATAAAGGGGCCGTTACTGCATCAATGCCCGCTACAACCTGGAGGTTTTGTAACATTCTTGTGTAATTTCGGCAAGATATAGAAGGTGCCAATTTTAGGGTGTTGAATAGCCAAAAAGTTGTGTTATTTTTCAGTGATTTGACCAGAACTTAAATACCCATCTAGGACAATAAAGATAGAGTTCTGAAATTGCGAAGTGGTGTCACTTCTGAGTTTCTTGTGAAAGGTGTTGTCAAGTAGTTGTCTATGACACTCATTTACATAAACTGTCCTATCCATGAGTACAACCGACCCGCCCTGCTGTAAGGACTGACATTTTGGATTGTAAATTGTCAAAGTCGCGTCAATTCAAATCTGGTATTAGGAACAAAAGAGGTCAACACGACTTCTAAGATATACTAGTTATTTTAATTAATGCAAAAACCTTCAATGGTAAATATGATGTTTCGTATATACGGGCTCTCTGAAATACCTCGCAGGGCACCCCAGAGAACTAACCCATTGTTCTGGGTTCTTGCTCAAATACTCTGACAGAGGGAGTTTCCCACCTCTCTGCTGACCAATTAGAGTAGAGACTTGAGCGTGGTTTAGACTTACTCAGTCAATCCGTTGATGCATCTCTTGTTACCAGGCATATCTCTTGGTTCACAGATCACAAAGAACCAGTATAGTCTAGCATTTGGAGACACAAATCCTTATCTCCCTTTACCCCCTAAAACAGCTATTCACATCAATCACAGCTTGCCAGGTGTCACAGCCTACATTAGACCAGTCAAGAATGCATTCTTTCTCAGTTAGTCATCCCATCAATCCAATTATTTAGAAAATAGAACCCAACAATCCCTCTTTTGACACCCTCTAGGGTGTCACTCATTAAAATACAATACAAACAA